AAATGTACTGACAACTGCACATCCAATGATGGAGTCAAAACTGGAAAATTCTCAAGTCCAAATCCTAACATCTAGCTACTCTGTATCAGGACAAGGGCTTGGCAATTAAGGCCTATCCTTCATCTTACAGAGATCATCCAGGGGTCAGCCTGTTTTGTCACCCACCTGAGATTAAGTTGCTGACAGGAGAGCATATGCCAGGAAGTATCTGCATTCCTTCAGGATGAGCAATAACCTTCTTTCTAACATCGGCTTGGCTCCATCCACCTTTTGCTTGAGATGATCTTCCTCCTTGAGAAATTCTAGGCTAGTTTCATGTAGTGCTAGTATCTAGTAATGCTGCTCATACCCAACCAGCCCAAGTGAACAGGATTGCTATAAGGCTACCAGCTAGCCAGCACACTTACAGTTGTGGCAGAACCCAAAGCGGTATCGAGCCCCAAATGCCCTATATACAGCTATTATCACTGAGCATCAGTGGCCCTGTGGCAATGAGAAGGTCCAGGAAGTGAAGAGCTGTGCCACCCTGGAGTCCAAATACCCCTGTGTTTGCACAAGAGTTGATAGAAGGTCAAGAAGGGAATTGAGTCCAGTTTTTCTGCAACATCACACTATGGTGCTGTCCTCCACCAGCACCACACCGTGGGGATTCCTGCGCAGACAGTGTCAGCATAAAAAGTGTTATGGTTTTCAAGAAAAGAAAAAATGCACATAAAAAGACTGATTGAATGCAGGTTTTACTACCCTTTCAGAGAGAGTAAAACTTCAGCAGTTTCCCTGTTTCCACAGAGACAAATTAAGGTACTGAATGTCTACATAAGACAAAATTACTCATTGTTTGCAAGGACGAATCTCCTGTATCTCTCCCAGCCACAGCAAGCAGGAGCGGAAGCTCCTACCTCCCTAAATTCTTTCACTACCTTCTTCAAATTATTGCACCATTCTCCGGTCACAAGCTTAGACAGATTTTTCTTATGACTTCAAGTTTAGCACTCCGAGCAACAAAGCAACTTCAAATTTACTTCTGAGGGGAGGAAAGACCATATCACAAGAAGCCTCGCTTCTTTCGTCATCCTCTAGCTACTGCAGAGGCTCTAAATCAAAGGATGACTACTTGTTTACCTTTTGATGAGACAAAAGTCAGAGCAACTGCCACAAAATCCCTGTATGGAGCAAGCCCTGGTCTGATATGACATAGCCATGCTGCCTCCCTTCAGACATAGCTCCATTTTTTTGCTGTCTCAGAGTTTCTCAACAACCTCACAGTCTACAAAAGGAGAATTTCTACCCTGCACATTCCCTCTATTGCAACTAGCATCTCTAAGAGGTGCAAGGAAAGCACCTGTCCCTGCTGTTTCATAGCCCTTCAATCGCCAAGGAAAAACGCAACAACAGCATAACTAGTGGTCTGCTTATATAGAGCCTGCTCCCTCCTCAGAAGGCTCTGCTCTGCATCTTGCTATTTGCAATATTCTTCCTTTTTGTGCAAAACCCAGAATGCTAACGTCCCCTTGTACAACATAGGAGACAGGTGGTATCTCACCTCAGGCTCTTTCAAAGCTAACTAAAACTCCAGCATAACACCTGGATTCTTCTCATTTATATGCTGCAAAGACAGATACTGTAATTAATAACTTGGGGGGTGAGGGGGCACATGGAGAACAGAGCATACAAATAGACATTGTGTCAAACCACTTCTTGGTGTAGGCGTGTAAAAAGCGCTTGATGATAAAGTTCTCCGTTTGAGCTTGGTCCCTCCAAGATAGGTGGTTCTGGAGTCGGTCGGCATACAGAGGACAGGAGTTCACAGGTGTGAGGACGTGGCTGAAGGCTAACAGAACCAGGACTTCACTGTGATTTCAGGCTTCACTTACAGTGAGGGGATTTGCTCTTGGATGCAGTTACAGCACTTCAGACCAAACCCTCAAGCATGGGAGTTGGAAGGGAACATCCATAGCAACTATCACTGGTATGCTGGAGTAACAAGTGCTTGAGTCAGTGATTTGAGACTACTAAAGACGTGAGTAATGTGGACAAATAAATTATTACTCCCCAGCCCCAGAAAAACATCTGCACAGCAGACGGTACATCAGCTTCTAGGTGTGAAGGCATTTACATATGTGCAGCAAAGAGTCTGGAGTAGCTGCAATCCGTTTTGCTGCAGGAAAAAAAAGTGCTAGCTTTCCTTTTTCACCAAGAAGAGACCTGCACATGGATAATTAGCACAAAGGCATCGTGTGTAAACTGGAGAGGGCTGGCCTCTTGTTGCTTTTATTACATCTACCAAAAGAAAACACTACAGCCTCTGAATGTGCTATGACCTTGCTTCCCTGCAGACAAAGCGCTTGTCCTTGTTCCCAGGGGACATGACTGCAGAGCCCTACCTTCTGAAGAACTGTTGCTCACGGGACACCTGTGTCAGCAACGTTAAGAGATCAGAAGGCCTTTTTCCTCCCACTTAGCGCAAGGGTCACACCTGGAGGTCAGAGGCAACCCCACCTTTCAGTCTTCAATAGTAGCAAGATTCTTTAGCTCAGACAACAAATGTGTACACATGAGAATCTAAATGTCTTAAGCTCATACGCTGCCAGTAATAACACCCTGGCAGCGTATCCCATGAGTGACAGAAATCACTGTGGCGACAGCCTCCATCACTGAACTTTTGCCCTCAGCAGGCAGATAAGTTAAATTAACGATGCTGAAGGCAGCTTCCTGAAGGAAAATGGTGCTCCTTTCCTGTTTTCTTACAGAGGCTTATTTCCCCTAACACAGCACACGTGAGAGCATAAGGGACAGGCTTTGTTCATCATTCCAGTATTAGCAAACTAGCCCTAAGCTCAAAGAGAAGTTTTCTAGCCTAGCTTTTGTTAGCCCAGGCTAACAAATTCACTGATCTCTTCTGCCTCTTTTCCCAGACGTGCCATCAACAGCTATGGTCTTAGCAACTATCGTCTTACAACAGCAGCTGAAGAAATCCTTAGGCATGCCCCTTTGCTTAGGATGGGATAATGTTTCTGAATTAGAAGACAAAGGCCACAATCACTTGAGCTCAGCAGTTTCAGAGAGCAGCTAAGGTGTTTTCTTCCACCAGCTTTTAAATGAAGAATCATGGTTATACCTGAAATCAGCACAAATCTGTGGAGTCACCCCTATTAGAAAAATGCTTAGCAAAAATGACTCAACTGCAGCAGAGAAAAAGACTATGCAAGTCAGTTGGGGGCCCAAGAGCTATATTTTTAGATTGAAGGAAGGGGTGACATTTCCAATCTTGTTAGCACAAATGAAGCAAAATCACCGTTAGAAGAGAAAACAGCCCGTCCCTTGATAGGCCTCTCCTCTTTGAGAGTGTTACTTTAGAGAACAAATCCATTGGTTTTGAAAGGACGGATATTCGCATAACTGATAAAGAGCCAACAAGGAATTCTGCAGCCACCATCACCGCCACTTACAAGGCAGACCGCTGAACGCCTAGGGAGTGCAGCAGCAAAACTGCAAACTAAGCCGTGCTCTGCATGATGGAAGTCAACAATGATGGAAGCAGATCTTAAAACCTAGGCGATACTTTTTCTAAAGACACAGTTTTGTTATGCCTGCGTCTTTTAAAGACCACTTCGTCACTAAATGGTAGTGTTGAGAACTGAGAAAAAAACTTCTTTACTGTGAGGGTGACAGAGCATTGGAACAGGTTGCCCAGAGAGGTAGTGGAGTCTCCTTCCCTGGAGATATTCAAAACCCACCTGGACACGATCCTGGGCAGCATGCTGTAGGTGACCCTGCTGGAGCAGGGAGGTTGGACTAGATGATCTCCAGAGGTCCCTTCCAACCTCAACCATTCTGTGATTCTGTGATTCTGTGGCATTCCAACAGCTATCCAATTAATTTGACTGTTTCTGTGTCATCAGATTCACCTATTAAATTGATCCAGTTTGGCACAAAGCCATGAGGAGCAGTTACAAAAACCACCTAGCTGGATCTCCAGTGCCATGAGCTGCTTTTGATGGGAATGGATATATACTTCAGCGTGTCTCTAGTTAATTCTATCTTTCATCCTATCAGAGCATATGCTCTAATCAACCCTGTGCTTATATCAGGCAATTCTCAACATGTGCCTGCCAGGGCCTGTAATTATAAGAAGGAAGAAAGTTACAGGACTCTGCCATAACAGGGTATTTTAAGCACAACCTTAGCTCAACTGCCAATTCCAGATACTTAAGGAGTTGCCAAGAGAGCCAGGTGCAGGAAGCAAAATGCACCAGTGCAGTACTGCTGTACAGACACTTACGGACACTTATTTAAAAAAAAAAAAAAAAAGAAAGAAAAACTGCTTCACTAGGATCTTGGCACTGGGTAACCCTCTCATGGTGAATCAAATCTTCCAAACAGGTACCCCTCGGGCTGTTGCCCTGCCCAAGCACAGCAGGTATCTTCACTCTGAGAACAGTGACTCACTCCCAAGGAGCTTCCCTCTCCCTCTTCCCCCTTTCTGCCCTCTGGCCATGCCCTCCTTCTCTGTTTCAGTCCTGGCTGCAGTTTCCCTCAGGGGTTGTGCAGCTGGTCCGTGGCCATCCCTGCTCCTTGCGGGGTTTCTCCCTTTCCCGTCCCTCCCACAGGCAGCCATGGAGACGTTCAGTATTATTTGTAACACTAACTCCCATCCATCTCTCCTGTCCTGCCATAAAGGAAATGCTGTTGATTGAGTCAGGTATTTCGATGAGCCCATTCTCTGCTCCAGCGCAAAAGTTCAGCTACATTTGTCCTCCATTTCTGAATTTTTGTCTTTCAGGCTGTCTGCAAGACAGCTGCATTTCCACAGATGGCACAGCTATCACACAGTGATGTTGTATTAACTGTCCCTATGTACGCTCCTGTCAAATGGAAAGCAATGCAACTTAGCCGTTTGCAAGAGGTTGTATTATATGTCATTTCTCATGGGCCAGAGCAAGCAAACAGACAGCTATCACAGCTGAAATGATGCATAATAAGGGTTAAGCCACAGGATGCTGATTACATACTTGAACTTTATTCCATTCCTGTCTCATGCAAATTTAGAACCTCAGATTGCACCGCACTGTTTGAGAGACAACAAATAGCTTATACCTGACCCATCCAAATTTGCTTACCGAAGTTATGGAAGACACACGACTGGAAAATATACATCCTCCCACATATTTTGGTATGGACACCAGAACCCTCCATAATACCTCCCAGGAAAAGAATGCATCAGTCATCTGTTCACATGCCTCAAGTCTGCAGGGCTAACACGGCCTTGTTCTGAGAGCCATTAGCATGTGAGCAAAAGGATTTTTGATCTAGCTTTTGATCTAGCTTCCCCCACCTGCCCATGTTCGTGGTTAGGTGCCCATATAAAGCTAGATTCCAGGTCAACTAAAACTCATGCCTTTGGATCTGTTGCCAGACTCTTTATCCACAGCTATTGCTCTCCAGAGAAAAAGGAATTAAGTGCCTTTATTAGTCTGAATGATTCAAAACTTAGCTACAAGCATTACAGAAAATTACAAGCAACCAAGCAACCAGGGAGCAACCCAGAGCACAGATGGAATAATCATCCTTTAATAGCATCATTATGAGATGATACTGGATACAGTTATGCTAGGTGTATGAGACAGTTCTCCTAATGAATTTTAACATATCAGAATGCTATTGACTGACAGTTGCACACATTTAGCATCTTAGGAGCTCATCCAATGGACTTCTGACATTAAAACAGGAAGTGAGTTTGGGGGAAGACTGCCACTTCATTACATGGTAGCTTTTGCTGAAAAGGCAAAGGAAATTGCATCAGGTCCCTTCTTCATGTGCTGGATCTTTGAATCTTGGTTCTTCTTATTCTCCAGTCTACTTGAAAAAAAGGTGGAGAGGGAAGAAATATAGTTCAGCATTTGTCTCATAATTAATAGAACTAACCAACCATCCACAGCCTAGGGAAAATGTATGCAACTTTAGCATCAGAATCATATCCTGGCGATTCTATAAGGAGAAGATTGCATATGCAGAACACTTAACACATGTGAAAGCGTCGTGCTTACCCAATTGTCGTTGTTGCAAAACATCAAACCCCTACAAATTAGTACTACATATACTACATATACATGAATGAAGCAGATTGCTATAAAATTAACAACAGTGAAATAATTAACGCAGGAGATTCAAATCAACATATGCTGGGAAAAAATCATCTCAAAAATCAGAGATGGTTAGGGTTATAAGCTGGTGTATGATCTTCTGAGAAATGCATTTGAATTAAGAGCTACAATATGCAGAGAAAATTTGAGCCGTGTTTTTCTAAGAGAACATGTGACTGCCTCTACAGCTGTCTGTAGCCTATGCTGTATTTTCACCAAGTTGGTCACCATGGCAACCTGAAATTTCTCTGTAAGACAATTTTCTTAATAAAATTTCAGGGATAGATTTGTGCCAAAAAGGAATGTCCACACATGGGGTAGTGACAGAAAGAGTGACGCTCTGAGAGGTGCTGTCTAGCTTGCTCGGGAACGCCTGCGGCCCTGCCCAGTTCCTGAGGATGAGGGATGCCGGCCAAAGACCTGGGACCAGTCGCTATCTTCAGCTTTAGGGAGCAAGTGCTCTTTCGTGCTACAGACCTCCTACCTGGACAGAAATACTGTGCTATGCTATATTGCTATGTTGCAATATTTGTGCTACGCCTCCACACACATGAGTTAGCGGTGTGCCCTTGCAACAGTGAAGGGCAATCGCTCCCAGGTTGCATTAACAAAAATGCAGCCATAGCAGGTTCCGGGAAGTGATTCTTTTCCACTACTTGGCACTTGTGAGACCACATCTGGAACGCTGTGTCCTGTTTATTGGCTTCCCGGTAAAAGACAGACATGAACAAGTCCAGCAGAAGCCACCAGGATGATTAGGGTGCTGGAGGACAGGAAATATAAGAAGCAGGGAGAGCTGGGTTTGCTCAGCCTGGAGATGAGAAGGCAAAGGGAAGATCTTAGTTCTGTCTGCAGCTACTTGCTGGGAGAATATAGAGAAGATGGACCCAGACTCTTCTCCGAAGAAAGGATGAGAGGCACAAGCTGGAACGTGGGAAATTCCAGCCTGATATAAGGAAAAATCTCCCCCTTGAGAGTGCTCAAACACTGAACCAGAAGCCAAGAGAGCTTCTGGTTCCAGAGCCAAGAGAGCTGCCCTGGGACAGTCAAACCTCAGGTGGACAGAGGCTTTCAGAGGTCCCTTCCAATGTATTCTCTGACAAGTTCATTTCTAGTGTTTGCAAAATACAACACTGAACAGAGGGCTGACAGACGGCTATGAGAGTCCTTTCCAGCCCTCCGTTGAAGTGCTATTGTTTTTCCACAGCAATAAAATTAAGGTGTTTTCAATCAGGCCTTAAAATGACATACTGAAGTCTAAAGAATCATCCAAGCTCTGCATCTTCCAGAAGCAGAAGCAATTTCCTCAGTGCAGCAGTGGGTTGAATCCTTCAAAATGAATCTAGAGGAGGTGCGCAAAGGGCAAGACAAAATCACTGCCATTCAGAATAGCAGCAATAGCTTGCCACAGCAATTCTCCTCTCTGTCATAATACTGCCACTTCAGACCCATGCCGTGATCTGACCTGAGCATCAGGAAAGGTCCTGCCTGAGTCTGATTAAATTTCAGTCCTTCACTTCTGAACAGATGAGAGAGCCCTGTCTTCTCTGCTACAGAATATCACAGGTGCCAGGTGATACCAAGGACTGAGCTATCACAAACAGATTCCAAGGCAAGGGGAATATAATGGGTGTCCTGTCATTTCCCCCACGTTGCCTAAGACAGATAAATTGCTCTGCTCTCACTCTCAGAGCTGATCTGGACATGGAGCTCATGCATTATGCAACAGATCCCCTTCTGCAGGGATTTTCCTTCCCTCTGATGCTTCACTGTTTTTTCCCCAGAAAGCTATAAGCTACTTTTGGAGAATCAGAGACGGTAGGGTGGGTGAACGGAGGGGTGGGGGAGAGGAAGGGGTGGTGGGGAAAAGGAAGTCTAATGCATGAAGCCATGAGAATACAAAACTGGGACTAAACTTAGGCAGCTTCTTAATGAAGCCACCCGGGATAAAAGCTAATCTTTCCACACCCCCAGGAGGGTAATGCATCCTGCTCCATTATTACTTTTCTGGAATACAGACAAACACAAATTTCCAGTCCACTCTGAAGTTTGCATCCTGGATTTCTCAGGTATGAGCAGAACAGGCCCAATGGTACCAGTCATTCTTTCAACGAAAATCCCCACTATTCAAGGACATCAGCCCGTTTACTTCTGCTTCAAGCAATTTACTGTACTGCGAGGCTGCTAATCAGGTCATAACAACTGCCATAACCCCATTCCAGCCACCAGTGAGCTATGCCAGGTGAACTCAGCCAGAAAGTCATTCTAAGAAAATGTAGAAAACTTGATGAGGAAAATTACAACCCCTTGGCCTTATACAGGAGGAACCTTATCTTCTGTTAGAAGACATGCTCTTCGCATGAGTAGTGACACTAAGAGAAAATTAGTAATTGCAACCTACATGCATATTGCAAGCAAAGACAGGAGTTTTCCTCTTAATTTTCCTCTTCAAGGAAATGAAGCAATGCTGTTGACTCCAGGTAAAAATAAGTCATAGGTTGGACTCCACCCCTTGCAAAGTGTAATTGCCTTTGGCAGTTGACTTTGAAAGAGCAGAGCACTGCGGGCCTTTTTCCTTTGCTTTCTGACGTTCAAGATATTAGGTGCCTTTGAGCCATTTTTTTTTAAACTCTTCTTTACAACTCAGAGCCACAAATACCATTAAGCTGATTCCAGCTTAATGGAACTTAGAATTCCAAATAAAATTTCATATACCTGGGTGCATTCAAAAAGCCTTTAATCTGCGGTGTGTCATAAACAGCATCCTTCTCTGAGCAGGAATCCCTCCTCCCCAAGGGTTTCAATGGGGCATTAACTGCATTACTAACATGCCCTTTGCTGACACTGTGGCAGCTAACAGCTCCAGCAAGCTCTGCACATATCTTACAGGCCAAGCTAACTAATGACCTTACACTTGTTGCAGGCTAAGGTTGTTAGCCAGTGATCAGCTGTTGTGCAGCAGCTGGCTCCCCTGCTGTCACTTGGTCATATGCTTGAGGTATTTGTTGGAAAGGCTGGCCCACAGGCTGACATGTGATTTTCACAATCTCCCCAGTTCCAGAGATGCACTAGCAAATAAATCCAGAAAATCTAATTAGAAATTGTCACTGAAGTAAGCTCGTTAATCATTGATGTGGTTCTTTCATAACGCAGTTTGCTGGCTCCTGCAGGCATCAGCAGAGCAGTTGGGTCTGAAAACTGCAGACTTTAAAAAGTTTTTCTTTATATAAGAATTGCACTGTTTTTTTTTTTTCCTCTTGAATATTTAGCACATTCTAATGAGTCAAAAAACAGAGCCAGAAGGGACCAGTGAGATCATTTAGCCTGGCTTTTGCACAGAGTCAGGCACAGGATTCCCCTGAAAAAATTCCTAGGCTAAAAGGGAAGATCTAGTTCAGAGAATGCAAAATCCAGCATCAAAAATTCTTTCAACCACTTGCCTTGGTGATTTTTGCAGCAGTCAGTTTCCCATTCTGTTGCATAAAAAAAAATTACACTGTTTCTCACCTGAACTTGTCTAGTTTTGCCTGTCAATAACAGGTTCTTTGTTTAAGAGATAAAAGTCTTCCAATATTAAATTGCTGTTTCCCCAACCTACCCCAAAATCTTTTCTCAGCTAAGCTAAGCCAGCTGAATTTCTGCCATCTCAAAACATAGCATGTACTTCCTATGCTTCATTGAACACTGTCATCACAGAATGAATTGTAATAATGCTAACCATAATCATGCAGGTGCCAAAACACAGGGGAAAAACACCCATGACTTTCCCTGGCCTCAAACAGAATAAATAATTTGTATATGCATAGTTCCAAAAGAAGCCCACGGATGAAACCCTCAGACTTGGGATTCAAGTGAAACTGAGAAGCAAACACAGCTCCAGACTTTGCAGCTAATAATAGGTCAAACCAGCAAAAATAAGAGACAAGCAGTTTTGATGGGCTTTGAAAATCTCCCTCAATCTCCTGATGTAGCTGCCTCCGAGTTATGATTGGGCCAAAACCTAGGACTCTGGTCCTTGCAATCTACCTTCAAGAGTGAGTAGAAAGTATTAAAACTGGAACTGCATAGAGTTTTGAGAACCATAAATTTCTCCCCATTTGTTTTCTATGCTCTTCCAAGGAGGTTTTACAGCTTGCTTCTGGTTTAGAGGTTTGTTAGGCATTAAGTCCAGGAGCACAAAACATTTGTGACTACTGCTTAATTAGGATAGCTGCTCTGGAGAACCAAAGAACTAATATAAGAGACCTGGCATTTTCCAAATGCAAGGAAAAGAGGTGTCAGCCCATTTAAAGGGCATGAACCTCCTTCTCCACAACTTTTTTAGAATATCAGTTGAAGATGGTTCAGCTCAAATTCATTGAGCCGGATTGGGATAGTTTGGTACGCAGAGGCCAACAAAGGCCAGACATTCACAAAATTTCTCCTCTCTTCTCTGAGGCAGAAAATCAACAATATGTTACTGTTCAGTAAGCCTCAGCCTCTCCACACCAACTCCTCGAAATAAAGCTACCCAAAAGGACACAGAATTCACACCAGAATGCCACTGCAATATGCTCAAGCAAGTTCAAAGATACTTAGAAAAGTCAGAAATTCCTATAAGAGGAAAGGCACTAATTAAAACAGCATATCACCTTGTACTGGCTTATGGATAAACTAAAATAATATATGGATTTAATGAAAACATTTTTACAAGATCAAATAAAGACCTGACCTAGCAGAATTACTGGGTTCTTCCTTTCATATCTAGGTTGTAGGAAAGTAGGGGTATATCTTCTTCAGCACATATATGTTTGTCACGGATATACTAACGAGTAAGAACTATGTCAGTTTTTGGTGAGTCAGCGGTGCCATCTGCATCTAAAACTGTCCTGTTTCCAACGTGGAGAGACTGAATTGAGCTCTACATAGATGCAGCATTCAGTTCTGGCTCTCTTCACAGGGGCACAGACCTGCGGTGGGTATGCAGCCAGTGAGTGTGCGAGACCTTTTTATCTCAAAGGTATAGTGCTAAGAACTTTCCTCTTCCTTTCCAAACTATTTTGGGAAACCAACTGGTTAACATGATAAGGAACTATCTCCATTCTGTGTTGCTAGAACTCTTTTAAGAACATTTCCCTTTGGATCAGCTCCCAAATACAGCAGGTAAAATATCAGCAGCAATTAGAGCTGCTCCCACACAGATCCTGAGAAGTAGGTCAGCAAAGGTGGTATGTGCAGCATAGGACTCGCCAGCTCTAATGAATCATGAGTGCCTGTCACTATCATTTCCATTAACTGGGCTCCGAACATCACCTTCACAGGTTCTCTGCAACAAAGTTGCCCTGGATAAATTGCTTCTTTGTTCTCTCAGGTACATTATTACTGCGTTCGTTTTTTTGTTTGCTGAACTATGGGGCCTCAGGGCCCTGTTGCATTAGATTCTGCACAAAGACGCTGCCATTCCTTCCAGAGTTTGGAGGATAAAAAGTAGCATTAAAAGACACAACAAGTTGTGGGTGGGAGGAGAGCACTGGCAGAACAGGGCACCAAACAACTTATCTCGGTATCATTGCCACTATGGCACAACAAGGGTATGGTCCAGATCCCATAGGCAAGCGCTACACCCCTGCTAAGAACAATCAGTCTGGAAAAGTTTCAAAGCATCCATGAAACATTAGCGCTTACAGAAATACACCTCTGTCAACCAAGACAGACGGAGACAAAAAGGCACAACTGTAGCTTGAGGCTTGAGCCTTAAGCTTAGCTCAGGACAGCAGGTTGATTTTGTGGGCCACTGTTCACAGTACCTGAACTGGTGTTTGTGTGAGCATAGGGGACGGACTACTTGAGAGTGAGTAAGAGACATGAGATCTGTAGATGGTGGTCTTATTGGAAGTAAAACAACAGGTATAGTACAAAGAGGCAGTCATACCATCTTTTGTTGCCTTGACACTGCTTTGGAGCCCTTGTTCCACAAGCCCTCCCTTAGGCACCAGAGACAGCCACCCAGAAACCCTGCAAACCCTGTCTGCACAGACCAGTGGTAACATCCAAATCTGTGAGTGGTTTTGACAATATCGAATAGGGTAACTCCCACAAGTATGTCACAGCACTGGTACCCTTCATTCCCTAAGGTATGACCATAGGTCTGACCCTAGGACTGACCATACTAGGTATTTGGACCTGAGAGGGTCTTAATCCCTATATACCTCTCCCATACATTTACTTCATCTCACAGAAAAAAAAAAAAATGCATCTTTTGAACCATTCTCAGTACTGTATATAATGGGAGAACTGAAGGAGAAGAAATATAACCCCGTAGTTTTTTGCACCAGTTATCAAAGCGCTGCCTGGATTTGTCCTTTGAGTTACAAGAACTGCATGGGTTGCCTCACATTTCAGCAACGTTTGGCAAGCGACCAATTGATAGTGCTATTTGTATTCTCAAGTGTCATTTCCTCATAAGCAAGTCCTACAAATGTCTAAGAAAAAAGTGGCTTTTAACGTGCTTGCAGCCAAGGAGCACATTCTCCCAAGAGATCCTTTATCCTGAGCAGTTACATTCCCACTCTGCCCAAAAAACAGCAGTTCGAGCCTGCATGAAAGCTACACTTTCAACTCTACTTACCCAAATTGTGTTATTCAGTCTTGTCAGAGCTGATATAGCTGCGTTTGTGCCAGTGTCCGTGGCTGTTACCTCTTCTACTTGAAGGGAAGGCTTCAGGAGCAAAGAGACCTTTTAAGAAAGAACGTGGAGACATACATGGGTGTTATATGGGCATGATCTGAGCAAACTTCAGGTCTCCCATATTCCCTGCTCCCTCAAAGTGATGAGCTGCTCCCACCCAAAAGACAAACCAACATGTACCAGGGAAGTCCAGCATGGTAGAAACGGCTTACCTTCACTGTGACCGCTGCCTAGCCTGTTGGGGTTCATTATCTGCATATGCATCATCTGTAAGTTAAAGACATTTCTTTAAGAATCTCATCTATAAAGAAGTCAGCCTCTCCTGCATTTCCTCAGGTACTATGTGGTCAATGAAGTAATGCAGGACTTCATTATTAATTTCTCCAGGAACAAGATCACTGCTGAGACTACTACAAAGCAGTTATGTTTCTAAGCGTGTAGTTCCAGGTAGGCCCTCAGGTCAACATCTTGGGTAGTCAATATCTTATCTGACCTGACTGTAGTGCAGATACAGCCAGGCAGCCTGAAGAGCAGGGTTAGTCTGTTGTGGTCACACAGAGCACCTTTTTGACTCATTTATCCCAAATGACTTTTTAAAGCTCTCTCTATAATCTTCTCTAGGTCTCTATCCCAGTAATATAATCTCAGCCTCAGCCAGTCATGCTTCCTGTCCTAAGCAAACACCACAAGCACTGCTGGATTTACACCAACACCATTCACAGTGGGCCAGGCTGAGATCCTTTGAACAGAGTTAAATCCTCTAGAGGAAGAGGTGCTGTGCACCTGCTGCAGCTCTCTGCAGAAAGAAATACTTTTCCTTTCATGTGTGATAATTCCCTTTGGCATTTATTCTCCATTAACATTCTAGCAAATATATTCCCTAACAGGAATATTGGCAGCAATACTGAATTTTAAGTGATGGTTAAAGAAGACTTGCAGAAAGAACTCTGCTTGTAAAAGCAAGTGTTTATACTGAGTGTCCAATTAAAAGAGTTATACTTAACTCACAGAGGACAGACTGAACATCCAAGACTACCTTACATATTTCAGTACTTCACACAGAGTCTTTCTGCTCTGCAAATCAAGAATTCTTGTGGTGCATTCATCAGCTAGCTCTGAATAGAGCCTCTGAACAAGAAAATCACAAGCTAATTTGGCAATTCAAACCAAGAGGTGACACTTAATCTTATTTGCTTCAAGTCATTCATTCAGCTGCTTGCAGTTCCCCAAAATAAAAGCTGTCCTTATTCTCTGGCACCTTGCCTTTGGAACTAGCTTCATTCCTTGAACATAACCCTCAAGCACAACACCCACTGTTGATTAGTGTTGTCAGTGCAGGCACCCAGTTTCAGATGAACTCATTTTTGTGTCAGTTCATGGAAATCACTGGCGTGATTTGAAAACAGCTAGCAGGAACTCACAATTGGGATCAGCATCTACTCACATCTTAAAAACCAAGTAAGACAGCTCAAAAACAAAGCCACGTGGAACACACATCCCAGTAGAGCAAGCCTTCTTCAGTTATACTGTGATTAAATGCTCAGCTGAGGGCTGCGTTTAATAACAGACCCACAACCATCAGATGTGTCTATAAGATGTGCCAATCACTGTTCTCCAGGCACAGGTGCACTACAT